TGGTGAGATTTTTTTAGGTTTAGCACGGAGCACAGGTTTACATTAATGTCTATGTAAATGAAAACATTTTTTGGACAGAGTGGGGAGAAGACGTTCTGTCAGGTATTTATTTCTGTCTCCCGAGGAAATTCACCCTCTTTACTTGTCATGGCAACCACTGTTACTGAGATAGTAAGCCAGTGGAAGTCCAACATTTTGCAGTTTTTACCAGAGCAATAGGTGAGTGTTAGGCCTTGTTCACACCAAATGCAGAGCAGATCCGGTCAGGTTTCTGCACACGCACGCTAGTCTTTTAGATGCATTTTTGGTTTTAAAAAAAAATAAAAAAGTATATATATTTTTTTAGTTTAAAATGGGCTTTCAGTGCATTCCAGGCATTTGCAGATCCAGCACAGGTAAAATAGGGCCTGCTGCAGTTTTTTCACCTGCTCTGGAACTCCATGTTGCGATGTGAACTGGAGCAAAAAATACCATTGGAATACATTGGACGCAGTTTTGATCCGGTCTGTAACTGCTCTGCTCTGAGCTTGGTGTGAACAAGGCCTAAATCGTCCAAAGGAGACATACAGTGGGGCAAAAAAGTATTTAGTCAGCCACCAATTGTGCAAGTTCTCCCACTTAAAAAGATGAGAGAGGCCTGTAATTGGCATCATAGGTAGACCTCAACTATGAGAGACAAAATGAGAAAACAAATCCAGACAAATCACATTGGCTGATTTGGAACCAATTTATTTGCAAATTATGGTGGAAAATAAGTATTTGGTCAATATCAAAAGGTCATCTCAATACTTTGTTATATATCCTTTGTTGGCAATGACAGAGGTCAAACGTGTCCTGTACGTCTTCACAAGGTTGGCACACACTGTTGCTGGTATGTTGGCCCATTCCTCCATGCAGATCTCCTCTAGAGCAGTGATGTTTTGGGGCTGTCGCTGGGCAACACGGACTTTCAACTCCCTCCCAAGATTTTCTATGGGGTTGAGATCTGGAGACTGGCTAGGCCACTCCAGGACCTTGAAATGCTTCTTACAAAGCCACTCCTTCGTTGCCCGGGTGGTATGTTTGGGATCATTGTCATGTTGAAAGACCCAGCCACGTTTCATCTTCAATGCCCTTGCTGATGGAAGGAGGTTTGCACTCAAAATCTCAGGATACATGGCCCCATTCATTCTGTCCTGTACACGGATCAGTCGTCCTGGTCCCTTTGCAGAGAAACAGCCCCAAAGCATGATGTTGCCACCCCCATGCTTCACAGTAGGTATGGTGTTCTTTGGATGCAACTTAGCATTCTCTCTCCTCCAAACACGACGAGTTGCGTTTCTACCAAATAGTTCTATTTTGGTTTCATCTGACCATATGACATTCTCCCAATCCTCTTCTGGATCATCCAAATGCTCTCTAGCAAACTTCAGACGGGCCCGGACATTTCCTGGCTTAAGCAGGGGGACACGTCTGGCACTGCAGGATCTGAGTCCCTAGCGGCGTAGTGTGTTACTGATGGTAGCCTTTGTTACGTTGGTCCCAGCTCTCTGCAGGTCATTCACTAGGTCCCCCCGTGTGGTCCTGGGATTTTTGCTCATCGTTCTTGTGATCATTTTGACCCCACGGGGTGAGATCTTGCGTGGAGCCCCAGATCGAGGGAGATTATCAGTGGTCTTGTATGTCTTCCATTTTCTAATTATTGCTCCCACAGTTGATTTGTTCACACCAAGATGCTTGCCTATTGCAGATTCAGTCTTCCCATCCTGGTGCAGGTCTACAATTTTGTTTCTGGTGTCCTTCGACAGCTCTTTGGTCTTCACCATAGTGGAGTTTGGAGTGTGACTGTTTGAGGTTGGGGACAGGTGTCTTTTATACTGATAACAAGTTCAAACAGGTGCCATTGATACAGGTAATGAGTGCAGGACAGAGGAGCCTCTTAAAGAAGAAGGTACAGGTCTGTGAGAGCCAGAACTCTTGCTTGTTTGTAGGTGACCAAATACTTATTTTCCACCATAATTTGCAAATAAATTGGTTCCAAATCAGCCAATGTGATTTGTCTGGATTTGTTTTCTCATTTTGTCTCTTATAGTTGAGGTCTACCTATGATGCCAATTACAGGCCTCTCTCATCGTTTTAAGTGGGAGAACTTGCACAATTGGTGGCTGACTAAATACTTTTTTGCCCCACTGTATGTTCTGGTGACAATTGTAAGACAGGAGATTCCATTACTTTCATTTTTGCTCTCATTTTTTCCAGGACAGGAAGTAAAAGGAAAAATCTCAGCAGTAGGACACGGATTACCGAAAAATAACCTGATGGGGGGTTTGAACCCTTCCCCCACTTTATATAAAGCTAAAATAATGTTTTAGGTTTTAATAAATGTAAAGGCCTTCCTACTGTCACTGAATGTGAAGAACATGCTGCATACTAAGTGTATTTCCCCTTCTGCAGCCACAACTAAAATAAATAAATGAAATCGATGTTATTTTTTGCTTGGCAAGAATCGTTTCAGTGGTCAGCGCAGTCAGGTGACCTCAGGTGAGGGGGGTAATTACATTTTCCCAAATTCGCCTGGGAAAGTGGAATTACCCTTTGAAGATCTAGATGCATTGTATGTTAATGAGGAGGAGCTCAGTCTGTCTCTAGTCAGGCTTGCTAAATACAGACATTTAAAAAAGGTAAGAAATATATTTTGAAAAATAATATTTAGACATGCTGCATGAATAGGAACACAGATTTTATTATATATATTTTGTGTATATTATTTTGTCTGAAGTTGTTCATTAAAAGGAGAACTATGAGGTGAGTGCTTTTCACTCACCTCATAGTTCTAGCCGACCTGTGACAATGAGACTGTCACAGGTCGGCTCAGTAGATCGGGAAGTGAGCGAACACATACCGGCGTTCGCTCACCTCTCGATCCTGCCATGGCTCTCTGCAGTGACAGGGGAGAGGCTGGATTCCCCCCTCCCCGCTCCGATCCTCCAGTGCTGACTGGCGGAATGGACGGGGGAGGGGGCGGGTACAGCTGGCTCTGCCTCTAGATAGGCAGAGCCAGCTGTCACTCACGCAGCTGGGCGGATCTCGACATGGATGTCGGGATCTGCTCCGGCGTCTCAGTATACCGTGAGCTGTAGCTCGCGGTATACTGAGCTAGTTTGTGTCCTTCCGATACCCTAAGGAGAACTATGGGGAAAAGCCCTGACCCCATAGTTCTCCTTTAAAGAAAGAGTTAGATCGTCGCCACCAGACACTAATCACAAGCAAAAGAATTGAAAGTGGAACAGGCTTTTCAATGAATTCACCAACAATAAAAGAAGCCAGTTAGGATTCAGTAAATATAATTGTATTTATTTTGTATACCGCAAAATAGACATCTGAAGCCGTGAAATCTTAAAGAAATTGGGTACACAGGCCTTGCAAGCTTGAGGCAGGAGGGCGTACTGGATATGAGGTAGGGGTGTCAGTCTTGAGGAATATTTTGCAGGCCTCACCCATATCCTGTAAGCTTCCCATCATCATGTGACCAATTCCTTCCAACACTGCAAAAAATTCAGAGCCACTTGCGACTCTTCTCAGCCTCACACGATTCAACACGTAGAGCAAAACGTCAGCCATTTCATGGAATTCGGCCTATTAAACTCCTTCGGCTCCATTTGTGGGAGATGAACACTAGTCAGTTTTCAGATTGAATTGCGTCAGGAAAAAACAATACACATTCAGGTTTTATTAGCACCTTGGTCCCCCAAGCTCTCCTTCATAAGAAAAAAAAAAAGCAGAAGCGATACAAGATGTAATGTAAAGAAAGCAGCTTAGCGGACAAAAACTACGGCCAAATGTGTTACCTATTGCAGACGGCATCCTCGGTTTAGAGCCGAGACACCCCAAGAAAGCCGCGACTACAATTAGGTTACTTGTTATTGTGAAAACCTACGGTGCTTTTGCTGGTGAATGACTGGGCCCCTCGGTCAGAACATCTGACCCGGAGATGTAAATATGTTTTATGGCTCATTTTCTAGATCACTTATTATGTGAATAACATGATTTCTTATATCTTTGCCATTCACTTTCAGAATCCTTCCATAACATTTAAAAGATTTTAAACAGTTCTTGCCACCGGGAACCAATAAAATTCTTCCTTTCGGGTTTCTATTGAAGTGCTGAGGAAAGAAAAGGGAGAATCTGATTGGTTAACCTGGATGGGCGAGACTAGAAATCCCTGTACGGAGGTGCGCTGTCATAACTGCTGATTTACCAACAAAAATGGCCGACTAGAGTGTGCAGGCGATGGCAGGGCAATCCCTAAAAGCTTGGAACACAGCAGACATGCGTTTTAGCATGCATGGTTTGGAATTATGGTGAAGCACGGAATTCAATAGACTTGATTGGGAAGTGCAGATTGACATGCTGGAAATGCAGTAGGAAACCCCTCTTTCCAACACACCTCGACGCAAATTTGGGGTGAACATGCCTCACTGAAAATAAAGGATTGTCTCAGATACGTGAACTTGAACTGTGCAGAAAAATGTCCAATTGGCACAAACAAACCCTGATTCCATTATTCATCACTACAAACCCACACGTTAAGAGCAGAGCTGTATTTAAACATCCTGCTATCCTAGAACATACTTAAAATGATGACACCCATTTAAAAAGCTCCGCCCTTTTTTGTCATGTGATTATTTGAGGCAGCAGGCTGTCTTTATATGCACAGCTACTTTTCAGCTGCACAGACCACCACACTAGGGAAAGGATAGATGGTCTAATGTATCCTATAAAGAGCCTTAACGCTCCTTTCACCCTTCCTTGTATGCCTTTCCCCCCCTCTAACCCTGCTGCCCTTAGCACTGGCCCTTGAGAGCCTCTGTGGTAAATGCAGCCCCGGGCTATTAGGTAAAGCCTGCCATTTT